TCACCAGGGCGGCATTCTGGGCCCTGCCAGGAATCAAGGGCAGAGGCCTGAGTGACAACTGAAGGTACCGCAGGCCCCAGAGCAGTGAGGTGGCACAGAGACTGACTCTGTAAGAAGGGTGGCACATTTGAGGGCCTTGGTCTGAGGGGAGGGTCCTCGGGTAAGCCAAGGAAGAAGTTCCAGGCCCTGCCAGGAGTCAAGGTGAGGACCCTGAGTCAGGTCATAGGGAGCCCTCCCACCCTCAGAACTCTGAGGACCACCCAGAACCCCGCCCTTGCTGGTTGCCCTGGGATACCTGGGCACTGTTGACAGGATGTGACATACTCACTACCTCCCGTGGTGTCACAAAGGGGTGAGGCAGTTAGTCTAAGGGGTATGGCCTAAGGCCAGCAGTGGGAGGGATTCTAGGCTTTCAAGAAGCCAACCTGAATACTCTGAGGACTAAGGGAGCCACACACTTCACAGCAGTGGAAACAAGACAGAATTGTTTTTCTTACCTGGCCTCAGGAGACCCAGACAGGTATGGCCAGAGGAGGAGATCCTCACTTCCTCTTAGGGTTCCCAGGGTGGAGCTGGCCTTAGTGGGAGGTGTAGTCCTAAGGGCCAGGGAGGATTCTAGGCCATAATGGGGGTTGGAAGAAATGACAGAGGGACCACTGCCACTAAATAGTAGGGATGACAAAGAATCTGCCTCCCCCCCCCCACGGTTTTGGACCTTGAAGACCCAGGACAGGGTGATTCCCCTGAAGCTCCCCCACACTTATTTACATCAGCTGTGTGGGAGGTGAAATCCTGAGTTTGAAGGTGGAGCCAGCATTCAACCTAAGGGGTGGGTATACCAGGCCCTATGTGGAGCCAAAGTAAGGGCCCTAAATGAGGACTGAGGACCCCTAAGTGACCAGGACACAACATTCCCCACTGAGCAGTCAGTACTGGGGTCACCTGGGCAGAGGTGATAATCTGAGGATCCCCTTCACTTCCTTCTCGTGGGGTCCATGACTTGCACCAATTGAATGATGCTCTTGAACATGAAATAAGAGACTTGTCAAACCAAAAGACTGACAGCCACTGTCTCCTCAGTATGCTTGGGTCAGAGCATGCAGGACGCACCCTAAAGGGGACAGGCTGAAGAGAACAGGAGCCCTGTGGGTTTTTGGAGCAGTGCCCTTGAGGAAAACTATAAATGTATCCTTTCTTATAATCAAGGTGGTATTTCCATGGTGAAGGTGCACACATCCTCTCAACCTTCCTCCCCCAGGTGCCCTCATCACATGTCCTACCATCCCGCCTGACCATTGTCCCTGACCAGAGTCAAACTGTATCGAGGTCAGAAGAATATGTCCCGTGCCCATGAAAAATGCATCCGGGGCCGCAATGACTCCAAGAGTCACAAGACACTTCAGGCAACCTCAGTAGTGGATGATGAGTCCCCCTCCTGTTCCTACTCTGTTTGGGAGGGTAATTCCCAAGTTCCATCAGACACTGAGACAAGTAGCACTTCCCAGGGGTCTTGGACAGCCTCATCTACCACCATTGCCTCTTCAGGTGTTTTTGACACAAATTCTGATCAAAGTGATGAAAGCCAAGATGAGGAACATTCCTTTTCCTCAAATGCCTTATCTTCTGTGAACCCATGCAGTGAGATTCTAGCTATAAAGCTGGAAGTGCTGCAGCAATACCTTCTGTACAAGTATAAAATGCAACAGCCCATTCTGAAGGAAGAGATGCTCAAGATCGTAGGTGAAGATAACCAAGACCACTTTGCTGACATCCTCCAGAAAGTGTCTGATTGTATCGAGGTGGTCTTTGCGGTAGACTTGAAGGAAGTCGACTCAAGCAACCACGCATATGAACTTGTCAGCAAACTGAACCTCCCCAATAATGGGAGGGTGAATGTGGGCAGGGGATTACCCAAGACGGGTCTCTTGATGAATATCCTAGGCCTTATCTTCATTAAGGGCAACCGTGCCAGCGAGGAGGAGACGTGGGAATTCCTGAATATGATGGAAGTGTACGCTGGGAGGAAGCACCACATCTATGGGGAGCCCAGGAAGCTCATTAACACAGAATTCGTGCAGCTGAAGTACCTGGAGTACCACCAGGTGCCCAACAGCGATCCTGCACGCTACGAGTTCCTGTGGGGCCCAAGAGCTCATGCTGAAACAAGCAAGATGCAAGTCCTGGAATTTTTGGCCAAGGTTAATGACACGGTCCCTAGTGCCTTCTCACCTTGGTATGAAGAGGCTTTGCAAGATCAAGAGAGAGCACGAGCCA